TTAAAAAAAAAAAAAAAAAAGTCCAAGTATTGGAAAAAAAGTTTAAATATCTTATTTCAGAGACTTTTAAATAATCTTTAATATACGTGCAAAGCTTGGCATTTTTCTGCGAGAAAAAAAAAAGAATGTTTTATTGTAAAAATAATGACGAGTGAAAAAAAATTTTCAGCAAAACAAATATACACTTGACTCAGAAAAAAAGGTTCAAGTGCTTGAATAAAATTGTGTCCAAGTCCCTCTCCGTCCATTAATGATACTCCAGTAGTAAGTATACTATGATGGAAGAAAAAGCTTAGATTTCGCGAAAACGTTCATCGTCGACGTACCTACTAGTTAACATTGAATTGGCTTGCACACAGCAAGCTTTGGAACTTGCAAAGCAACAATGCGAACGTTCACGCAACAACCACACCTATTGCAACGGTGCACAATCGGCTTTGTCGGGCGATGCTGCCTCATCAGTGCGCCCTTTGCACAGTACTGTGGGGTGTACGTACAGGATTTGCGTCCAGTTTACCTTCGTACCCATGTATACACTCCTGTTTGCGAACGTTCTATACCGCTATACGCCGTGGTTCAACATTTCGAGTCTCGGATATTCGAAGGATAGGTACTCGATGCACCTTCATTATTTTTGCCATTTGCAATGGGAAACAGAGGAAATTGCCCACGTAAAGAGGAACTGACGAGTTTTTACCACGTCTAATCTGTTGCCTTACCCTTCCCCCCCCCCCCCATGAAAACCCATCGTGGATTAAAAAGTTGTGCATTTTCACTCCATATTCCGAGAACCGGTATACAGTCGCTATCAGCGTTTCTTGAAAAAATTGCACATGTACCCATACAAACAGATACAAGAGGAGTCGGATGAAACGCCTACAGTAGCCGAGTTTCTGAGATTCCCGTGAAATCATCAGGGGTGGGTTCACGCGGGGGGAAAAAAAAGGGTGGATTTACCGCTACGGCATCAGAGCTTATTGCGACGCAATTCTCGAATGCACGTTAGAAAAAATTCGAGGAAGAGGATGTTTTTTTTTTTTTTTTTTTTTTTTTTTCAGCCAATAGGTACACCAAATAGGTCATAATTACAAAAAAGGGCCGAGAAAAAGTTAATAAAGTTGTGGAAAGTCCGCATCGCCGTCCTCCGTTTATCAGCTGAAACGCAGACATCACGGCTCAATCGGAAGATCATCAGCTGCGGGAAAAATTTAATTTAATTTCGCGCGAAGCTTGTACAATCAAGATGTACCGTTTAATTAAATTTTTCTCTCTCCCTCTCTTGCACACAGCCCCGCGTGAGGTGGTTGACGAAAGCCTCGAGTCGAAAAAAAAGTCGAGCCCAGTTTTATCGTACACGCGCGCTTTGGAGTCGTTTTGAGCTCGAGCTACTTCTTAAATGACACTAGCGAATTCGAATCACGATCCCGGGGCGTGTTCCCCTCGGAGAGGGTTTCTTTTCCCCCCTTTTGTACGAGGAAAAGAATGGGGCCCTCGTCCGCACGACTAATATGACTTTTTCACTCGTGACGACCAATCGCTGCTATTGAATCGGACACGTGATATGCCGTGTGTGTGTTTGTTCGAAGGTGGAGGAAAAAACGTGAGACACTTACTTCCTTGTTTCTTCGCGACAGTCGATCGCCATTGTACACGTGCAGAAACACCCGAGTCGAGTGTGTTATTGATTTTGCGAGCTCTTTTCCCGATACATGTTTGATTTACGGTGATTCGAAACTTTATGTTGCACCCACGGACTGTTGGCACAAACGAATATTCGTGTAATTGCAATTAAAATTTAATTGATTTCATTTGACAATAGAACAGAGTCGCTCTCCCGCAACGGCGCGCCGTTCGTCATGCCGAGCGAAATTTTCTCTTTGCTAATGTATCATGTATCGAGTGATTCAATTGATGTACCAACTTTCTACGGGAAAAATCAAAATTAAATTAAACCTTGCGAAATGTATTATGAGTGCCCCATACCCACGTGCATTGATAATTCGATAGCGCTGTATATACCTGTGGTGCGCGGTAATACTCGATTTATTGGATAAATTGCGTACGCGCGTTTTTGGTCCCGTCAATTATTTAAGTATACGAGCCCCAATTACCAGAGTGGTACTTTTATTATTATTATTTTTTTTTTTTTCCCCTCCACAAAGTTTCGATCCAGCGTTTATAATATTCAATTTTTTTTTTCGACTTGCTTATTTTTTCATCACTGTTTCAAAAACAACTGTGAGCTTTTTTTGTGTTTTCGAGGGTATTTTTATTTTATCTACGCGGAAACTATAAAATGGATTGTTATGTATACATTTGTAATATAGTTCGTTTTTACATTTGGAAAAAACACCCCCGAGCACATTTATTAGAAAAAATTCCACGCTGGTTCGGATTACCTGTCAATTCCTGCATTTTTTCCTTCTGTGTTATATTATACCCATTCACCAAAAAAAAAAAAAAAAAGTTGAGCCAGAGTGAATATCGTATGTTTTTCTCTACATAAGAATGTTACCATTTAATTCAGAAAAAAAAAAAAAATTTGACGAGAATTTTTATCTTTTACTGGTATCCAGCAGGAAAGTTGATGAATCCCCGAACGTAAAGATAATTGAAGAATACAAAGATAAAACCAGTCAGTACACATTCGATTTTTTTTCGAATTTCCAAAGTACCAGATTTTCCGAACAAAAATATGGCGAGAGTTATTTTTCTTCAAGACCCACGATTTTACATTATAAAAAATTGGAGAAACCCCAAAAAATCTTGTAAACATTATCTTTTGAATGAACAAATCGAAAAACCCGAAAAAGTTTTGATTTAAAAAAATATTGAATCTTTCAGTGCAGAAATGTGACTCCTTTACAGCTGAAAGCAGGGAGAAAAACTTGAGAGACGGTATGAATTAGAAAAATAAATTTCTTCGACTCTTTGGGGCTTTTTAACCGCAGTTTTTTCACGGAGCCATTTGTACAATGCTAAAAAAATAGTCGAAAACTCTTACTGTATCCTTTGTGAAAAATATACATTATGCATTTCACAGATGCTCATTGGAAACTGAATGGAAAATTTTACAATTTCCCATGTAAAGTGTTGCGTTTTCAATTTTCATCTCATATTTATGTACATTGTAATCATGTGCGTCGTTGCCCGAAAAGATTAAAAGGACAATTCTGTTGTGCTGTAGGTATAAAAGAAAAGGGATCAACTTGGCTCTTTCGAGTGAAGAAGTCGACGGTTCAACTGTAAAAAACGATGACGGGCCACGCGATTCATTTCGTTGGAACAGGCACAGTTGTTTCTGAATCTCTCTTTCGCGCGAAAATTTGAAAACTAAGCGCACTCGAAGCCCCAAATGTTAAAGAGCCGCATAAGTATACGGAGGGACTAAAGTACCTTTGGCGAGAATTCAAAGGTCGTGCATGAAAATTGAACGTTGCAGGGAAAAACTTGATTATCCACGATATATTTTTTTTCTTTCTTTTCGTCTCCACATTAATCAACTGGCAATTACGAGCCTCTTTCTGACGCGCTCTCACACGGTGGGTGACGATGTTTCATGGATGTAACTTTTTGCTATCCAAGCTGTACGTAATCGAAACACATTACGGTACCGAAAGGTACGTTGAGAAGGCGCTTATAAGTTATGTTTCTACACGTGCTTGCACTCGGAATCGTCGGTAACTCGTAAAATTGCTCCTACATGTATTCGTGTAACGCGCAACGCCAGCCAAGAAAACGTACGAATGGATGTTTATGTGCAGACGTATCTGTGTATACCTATACGTATGCGGAACCCGTTGAAAGAGCTGAATTACACTCGACCCGAAATTTCAAGTCCCGCCGAGCTCGTCCGTCGCTGGCTCAGCAGAAAAAAAAAAAAAAAAAAAAAAAAAGTCATCCGAGCAGTGCAGACGGAGACAAGAGTATAAGTACAAGAAGGAATTTTTCGCACCCATCCGGAGAAGGGGGTATACGTCATATTACCGCAGGTAATGAAATTCGGGTTGTCGTCGCCCGCGGATCACATAGAGGACCAGAGAGCATCGGTGTATAGGTCTATATCAAACATCAGGTGTACAGTGCAGGGGGAGGGACAAGTGGTGACCAGCAGAGCAGAGAGAGATTAGGGTCATTGGGAATCCCGTAACACGAACACACATATACCTGGTCTCTAATCGAGTCAGAGGGGGATCCAGCGCAGTCGGAGCAGTCCATTATGCGATTATGCGCGGCACGCGAGAGTAGGGAAATTTAATTCGGGACTCAAGTATCCCAAGCCAGCGCCGATCATGCAAATACTTTAATGGAAATGGCACCCTCTCCCCCGCCTATATATATTATATACTGTGCACCTTTGACGATATCACGCGATCGAGGCGCTTCTGTGTATACACAAGCTTTTGCGATGGAAATAAGGTGATCGAGTAGTTGGCGCGCACACTATACAGGGTAAACAGGTGTATAGGTCATTTGCGCCACGCGTCTTATGCTGTTTCGCGATAGCCGCGCAACAGAGGTCCAAAGCTTTACGGTCCCGGAAAAAGTTAACGGTGGGATGACATGTTTGCGTAAGGCTGCGCTATTGCAACGGGAAAAGAGAGAAATGCCACGTGGTGCTGTTTGTTGTCTCTTCAAAAGTTGGACCATTTTTTTTTTTTTTTTTTAATATATAAGTACGTGTATACGTTTTTCCCCCCAAAGAGTAACAAAAAAGAAAAAAAAAACAAAAAAAAAGGTGAGCGAAAAAGGGTACCTATCCTCCGGAGAAGCCGATTGAAGGACACGTTCTTCGAGATACAGTCGGGTAAACTCGTTGATGTAAGCGTTCCACTGTTTCGTCGGCATTCCGCGATCAACTTCAGCGAGCAGACGTCCGAGGCGCGCGCTACAGCCACCTCTGCTTTTTTCCCCTTTTTTTTTTATTCCTTTTTTTCCTTATTTTTTTTTGTTCTTTTTTTACTTGTACAACTCGTGCGAAGAAAAAAAAAAACCCCCCCCAAAGAATTTTTCTCCCCCCTCCCTCTCCTTAACCCCTCGGGTTTTTTTTTTCTTTTGCCACAACTCGTTAATCACCTCCATCGCGGGCAGGGAAGGCCAGAGGAAGAAGAGACAAAAAAAAAACACATTCCGGATGAGATGAGCGTACCCCAGTACAGCGACCTCGGCAAAACAGCGCGGGACGTTTTCAGGACAGGCTACGCCTATGACTCGGCGAAGGTTCGGCAAGTCATCCCCAAAAAGCCTTATGGCTTCGAGTTCGGCGGCTCCCTTGACCTCAAGAGCTTCAAGGTACGTGTCTCTCGCACCTCCGATCCCTCTACCATAACCTCTCGCGGCTCTCGTATCGGTAAAATTAATTTCTCCAACAAAAAAAACAAAAAAAAAAAAAAAATACGCACGAGTGACGTTTGGTTCGATGAACAGGGGGGCGGCTCGTTCATGGCGCAGTACGACACGGAGGGCTACGGCGAGCTGTCGGCCAAGATCGAGGCCAACGGGCCCTTTGTCGGCGAGTACAAGCTCAAGCGCACCATATCGGACAGCGTCGACCTGAACTTTGGCTGCTCGTACAACCCCACCGACGCGGCTCTCACGTGCAGGGCCGGGGGCGCCTTTTACAACGCCATCCTACACGCCACGGGCTCACTTAGTAAGTTGGTGCTCTCCTTTTTTTACCTCTACTTATACATGAGTATACGCTCACGATCGGGCGCCCAAACTTTACCGCGAAACTTGGCCCGTTACCGTTTCTTCAAGATTAAGAAAAGAAGAAAAAAAAAGGGAGGGGGGTGTGTGGAATGGTTTGAATTTTCCGGTCCATTGTTCCCGGGGGGATGAAAATTAAAGGAGGGTTTGAGAGTAAAAAAAAAAAAAAAAAAAAAAAGTGAAATAATGGTGACGCGGGTGTAGCCAAGGATTACGAGAGGAGGCCGGATCTCTTCGCCACGGGGGTGATAAAGCTGCCGAGGAGCTTGTTCCTCGGGTATCAGGTCGGCTACAGCACGAGCAACTCCCAGGTGACGAAAAACGATCTGGCGCTGGCTTACGAGGACGGGGAACTCGGGGCGCACCTGCGCTGCATCCAAATTTCCAAGGAGTTTGGCTTCTCCGCCTACTACAAAGGTTTGTCTGTTTTTCACTCAACAGTTTTCCCGGCAATGGGTTTACAAGAACCGAGCGAGCCACATGATGGCTCTGTCGGTAGCGTGTCTGCCTACAGATCTTGATGGCCGGGGTTCAAATTACACTCTGGACAAAAATTTCGTCAATGAATGAGATTTTTTGGGATTTGTACTTCAATAAACCTACCGTTTCCCCCTACTGTTATCAAACCCAACGTATGGCTAAATACACTTTGTAGTGTCAAAATAGCCATGTCTGAGCCGTTAAGGGGCGATGATGAATATATATAAAAAAAAAAAAAAAAAAAAAAAAAAAAAAAAAAAAAAAAAAAAAAAAAAAAAAAAAAAA